CCTTGCTGAGCCTCAAGACCTCAAAAAAGGCCTGGATTCCGCTGATTCCGCTTGCCTGCAGCCTGGAAATGGCAACTTGCAGATAGCGACGAAGGCTTGAGTGATTGCAGCACGCAGGCAGCTGGCAAGTGCAGCTTGCAAGGGTGACAGTGAAGGGTTACTCTGCGCAAGTTTTTGCTTCCTTTTGCTGAGCTGGCAAGCCGCTCTAAGCCCACCCAGCCCAGCCTAAGTCGCTGTTTGTTTAGCAATATTACCGCAAATGATCAAAATGAGATATAACTGGTACTTGTACATCACTTCGAAACTCCTACCACCCTGCTCATCCAATATCAAAGTTGTGGTGGCACGCTGGCTTGCACGGCTGTGAAATGTTTCATTCCTTGCTGAGCCTGTTGAGCCTGAAGAAAGGCCTGGATCTCGCTGCAGCCTGGAAACGCCAACTTGCAGATGCGAAGATACCGTGATGTCTGATGTGAGATCCATGCAGCCTGAAACGGCAACTTGCAGATGCGAAGATAGCGTGATGTCTGAAACATGTCATTGGAGAATGACGTCGCGTTGCGATGCACTGCTGTGCGTTTCCACAAGTTTGTTTGCAATAAGTTTCAGCTGTGGACACACTCTCTCTCGAGTCTCTCTCTCTTGTATGTTTATCTCTCTCTTTCTCTCTCTCTCTCTCTCTCTCTCTCTCTCTCTCTCTCTCTCTCTCTCTCTCTCTCTCTCTCTCTCTCTCTCTCGGGCGAAATAAGAAGCAGCAACATGGGGTTGAATTGGGCCAGTTGGGCAGAGGCAGAGGTTTGGGATGGGGGCTGGGGGTGTGTGCGGCGCTGCGGGTGGAGGTGGGCAGCTGGGGGTGAGGCAATGGACAGGTTTGTTGTATGGTTCCCAGATTTGACGTCACGCGCCCAAAATGGAACGTCCTAAACCTCGGGCAGCTGGGGTGAGGCAATGGAAAGGGTTGTGTCCAGATTTGACGTCACATGCCCAAAGTGGAACGTCATGAACCTCGTGCTCTCATACTGTTACTGAACCTGTGCCAGAAGAGCATGGAGGTTTCGGCCTGTCTGTCTTTGCTGCCCCATTTCCCTCCGCTCCGACAACAGTTTACCGACAACAGGGCACAGGGCACAGGGCATGACAGGACTGAAAGCTGTCATTGGAAGTTGCCAAGTTTTAAGGGGCATAGATAAAACGTTCTTTTTGAAATGATCCTCATTGTTCGTATCTTTCCTGTACTTTTCCGGACACGTCTATGCTCCTGCAAGCTCTCAGAAAGGACACACATCACTGAAATGCAGAGGTGTATGCTTGCAACAGGGACTGATCTTGAAGTCTTCCGCATGAACAGCTTTTCTTGTTTTGTGAGCTGACATGTCAGGTTTTGACTTTGAAAAACGTCTCTTCTAGTTCAGGCTCCTGGCCCCCCCCCCTGCAGATCCAGAGCGGTTTTTTGTAGACAGAAGTCAAGAGAAGAAGGTTTACCAAGATGACTGGATGTGGTTTTCTGGATGAGAGTTCTTTGCAGTGCAGTTCTTCTACTTTGTGCAGGGCTTGTTACCGCAGAAGGTTGGTTGTTGATAATGAATGTGAAAGTAGAGGCAGCAAGAAGCAGTACAGAGAAGCTCGTTCTGTTAAAGCCGCCAAATTCGATTTCCCTCCTGACCTGAAGACTATTGCCTTGGAGGATTCAATTGGAAGCAGCAAGAATGTGCATGTGAGAAGAGAGAGAGAAGAGACAGAACATGTGGAGCTCATGTCCTTCAGTTTGCAGCGTCGTCAAACCAAAGAAGCCCCAATAATTAAGACAACGAAGAAAACTACAACCTCGAGATTGTGAAGTACATGATCGCAGGATTCGAAGCTTCGACATCACGAATTTGAAGATTGAGGTGAAAAGATGGTATGAAGGTACAAGAAGATTCCTTCGAAGCCTTGAGTCGAGCTACGCCCCTGAGATCTCAGTCATGTTTCACAAGCAGAAGGAATTTTCGTGTTAATGATCGTGATGTGCACCCCGATTGGTTTGGTTACAGCAAGGCTGGTAGCGAGAGAGTATAACAACTCGAAGCGAGAAGATGTTTTCAGCCCAGCTACCTCTCCGTTGTTGACGAAGCTGATTCCAATTTTGGCATGGCAAATCGATGGAGTATTTCGCTTGACATTAAAGATGCATTTTTGCAGGTTCCCCAGAAGAGACCTGCACACTGCAAGATTCCACGAGGAAAAGGAAGTTAAGCAGTACATGGAATGGAAGCCAAATGCTGGCGACTTGGTCGTGTCCTTCCTGAACAAAGAGATGCTAGTCTTCTGTGGAGCGAATTTTGTGCAGAACTTTTGCAGCAAGAAGGCTATGAGAAAAGCATTTGCGAACCCAGCATTGCTTGATCAAGAACGGCAAGGTCGTATCCGTTTGCATCGTACATGTCGATGACCTTCAAGTAGCAGGAAAAGCAGCAGTGGTGAAGCCCGTCCTCGAAGCCTTGGCGAAGAAAGTGAAGCTACAAGTAGAAGGACCTTTTCTGACAGAAGAAGATTATCGCCTTGGATCGAGAAGAGAGAAAGCTACCCCTACAGCAGGAAATGTGCAGAACACCGATGAGACAAAAGAGCTGGACGAGAGCAAGAAGAATGTGTACCGAAGTTGTGTTGGTATACTGCTATATCTTGCCCAAGATCGTCCTGACATCCAGTATGCAGTCCGAAATTTGGCAACTGGAATGAAGGTTCCTACGCAGAAGAAGCAGAAAGAGCTCGAGCATTGCGCGTTGTATCTGAAGAAGACTGCAGGCTACGCGGTTTGCTACACAGCAGGGAGACCTGGAACGGCAACCCTGCAAAGAAGCAAGAATCTGGAGCAGGATTCCGAGAATGAGAATGAGAAGAGCATCGAGAGTGGCATTCACGCTGCATAGGCCGTTTCTGGTAACTTCTTGCAACCAGAGCATTCTCGTTGCCAAGTGCTTGATACGACCAACACCTTGCCGGTGTACAATGCCACGCGCTGCACTGCTGTCTGTGTACGCCTTCATTCGCGCTGCTTTGCCAGAAAGGAACTCTACGGCTTCTCGAATGCCAATTCCTTCTGCGACAGCACCAGTGAGTGCGTAGTACTCGGACTCGCCACTGGAAAGTGCCACAGTTTTCTGCGTTCTTGAGTAAGAAAACGCACACTGGCCGTCCAGGAAGATGACTCCTCCTGATACAGATTTCCGGCTGCTCTTGTTGCCGGCCCAGTCGGCATCAGAAAATACTTCGACCAGGTGACGGCAGTGAGCACTGTTTTCAACCCCGCTGATTTGGGAACAAAGCCCCTCAACGCATCGAGAATGAAGCTACTTTTGAACATCCTTCAAGTTCATGATGACCGAGAAGCAATCGGTCGTGAAGACCGAATGGCCGCAGAAAGCACAGCTACAGTCAGAAGATTGACAAAGGTATCCGGAAGCAGACTTGGTTTGACGTTATTGTCAGCTTTTGGTTTTGCAGTTGAATCTGCAGGTCAGCAAGAAGGAGATTTTGTAGCACGAAGATATTTTTGCATGCAGTTGATGAGTTTTGTGTTTGGCCCGTTTTCTACAGCTCAAGAGCCACCTCAAGAACTTCAAGAAGGTGAACAAGAAGTTTTACATGGTCACAGCAGCAACAGCAGCATGAAGTTTTCACATGTTTTCACGAGCATGCCTGAGCTTGAGATGTTGATGCCCGTGTGCATGGCTGTGATTGTTGTCCTGGTGACGATCATTGTCTACTTGGCAGTGAACCAGAAGAAGAAGGGTGAGAAAGAAGAGAAGCCCAAAGAAGAGAAGCCTGAAGGTGAAGTCACAAAGAAGAAAGAAGAAGAAGAAGATAAAGCGAAGAGCTCGCAAGGTGCCCTCGAAGACGACGAGACCGTGAAGAAGATCTTGCGCAAATGACGGTCGTCAAGAGGCTCCTGTTCGAGTGCCAGACCATGAGTCTGGCAAACTTGAAGGCCACCGAGGAACAGCAGCCGGACTCAGTTCTACGTAAGCTGCCAGGAGCTGAGAGAGCCCAGCGCCTGGAATTGCAGGCTCAAAGGCTGGGCGGACTCTCGATTGAGCATGACTTGGAGCCCGCCTTTTCAGTCTATGATGCTGTGTCGACACAGGTAGAGCAAGGGTCGCTGAAATACCTTCACCCGAGCAAGATCCCCCACGCGTCGCCAACTTGTGTTGGACGCTTCGGGGGACGGCCTCTCGGTTCAGGACAAATCCTCTAAAGTCGAGGCCCAGTTGGGGTCAGACATGGCGACTTACAGGGCGTTGCAAAGAAGGGGTCTGGCCTACGACCTCGTTGGCATTTTGAGTTTCAAGGTGCACGAGAAATGGCTTCAGAAGGCCTTTGCTACCTTGCAGACCCTAGCGCTTCAACCGTCCGACGCTGCAGCAGGTCCTGCGAGCAGATCGGGCCTTGTGGATGGAGCTTGGCAGCAAACAGCCGACCCTGACAAGGGCAGCGGCGAACGCGCCGCTCGCGGACGCCCGGTGCTTAGATCAAGTCTTCCTGGAAGCCACCAACACGGTTGCAGTCAATTTTCACTTCATGCCAACACCTCGTGCGGAAGGGTTCACAGATAAAGGCGGCAAAGGCACGGGCAAGGGCCCCAAGCGTTGGGGCGATGGAAAGGGGTATGGGCAATGGAAATATCAGAGGACCGACAAAGGGGACAAGGGCCAGGGAGGCAAATCAGGTTTCAAGGGAGCCCGCCTCCCCGCGAAGGGCTTTGTTTTGGCTTCAACCTAGGACAGTGCAAGGATGCCCCATTGGGGGGCAGATGCGCACGGGGCAGACATGTATGTTGTCACCCAGGTTGCTTCCGGAAGCATCCCTTTTCTGAGCACAAGGGCTCAGGCCAGGCAGCCTGAAAGAACGCCCCGTTGCAAGGGACGTCGAATGACAGCGCTTCCGCGCTGGACCAGGCGTCCCGCGCTGCTCCGACCGCGCGTCGCGCACAAGCGTGCGCAGAGAGAGCGGCAACAGCCATGGGGGAGGGTGGAGATAGTGCCCATTTTTGTGAACAAGACAATTTTCCCGCTTCTGAGGCGGACAGGCCCAAAGAGAGCTGCAAGGAGTTGCATCCTGCTGCTGTTGCAAAAGGGCAAGAGAATCAGCCCCCGCTCCAACGGGTGGCTGAGCCAATCCCACAGTTTTCCAAGCCTTCCTCTGAGGCTTCCGCATTTTCACCTCAGGCGAGTCATCCTGGCGCGCAGAGGTCTGGACAGGCGCAATGTACTGCGCCCCAGACCATACAGGAGTGTTGGGTTTTGGAGATTTTCGCAGGGTCAGCCGGGATTACCTCGGCGGCTGCTTCAGCCGGCCTCAGGCGGTCGGTCGGAGTGGATAACGTCCGCATGCCGAGGCGCAAGGGCAAGATAATACAGCTGGACTTGCTCCTGCTGTCGCACCAAGGTCTGCTGTGGAAATGGCTGGGTTCCCCAGGACTGGCAGCCGTATGGCTGGCGCCGCCCTGCGGCACATCCAGCAGGGCCAGGGAAATCCCGCTTCCGTGGGAGGACGAGCCGCATCCTTTGAGGTCAGTGGAGTACCCGGAAGGGCTTCCAGGCCTTGGCCCAAGTGATGCAGAAAGGGTGGCAAAGGCTAACGAGCTTTACCGGCTCACGGCCCGAATCTGGGACTTTTGCTGCGAAAATGGCATTGTGGTAATCATAGAGAACCCCTATCGCAGTTTCTTCTGGCATTGCAGCGCCATTGAACACATCCTGAGGAGTGAACAGGCGATCGTGGTCCAGTGCGACTTTTGCATGATGGGAGGTTCGAGATTAAAGCGGACGGCCTTGCTGTGTAACAACGACCTTATCACAGGCCTGGCTGTCACGTGTGATGGATCCCACGAGCATCTACCCTGGGAAGTGCACGAGGGAGTTCTCGCAACAAAGCTTGAGACCGCGTACCCGCACCAGTTTTGCAAGCACTTCGTTTCCCTGCTGTTGCAGCATCTGACACCCTTCTACAGAAGGGTTGTCGGGATGGCCTTAATCTCTTGGAGGGAGATCCCGCAAACTCCTCAGGAGCCAGGGTGGTAACGACACAGGCGAAGACCAAAAAGGCTGCATCTTTTCAGGTCATCCCCGAATTTTGCCGACGAACCAGATGGACAGTGCCCGGCCAACTCCGCAGCACTCTCCAAACTACACAGTGGTTGGGACCGGACAAGATCCCGGGTTTCAAGGCGCCAGGAGCCTCGGCGTTGAGAGTGACGCCCCTACTGTCTTCTGCGACGGACGTTCTGGTGGAGGTCCCGTGGAACCCACAGGAATTTGTGGCGAAAGCCCGACTGGCCGGCCACCCCCGACACCTGTGCCTCGGGGTGCCACCCGCCCTCAGGAAGGCAATTTTGGCGTGCTCTAAACAGCCCGCAGCCAAGGTGATTGAGACTCGAGCCGCGCAGTCACGAAGATGGCTCCAGCGAGCCCAGGAGCTGCAGCTAGCCGAAAACGACTTCAAAGCCAAGCTGCCCGAGCACATCCGCAGCAGCCTCCGCAACAAGAGAATACTGCTCTTCAAAGAGATGCTAGAAGCGTCCCACTACGCCGACAAGGCAGTGGCAGACGACCTGGCACAGGGTTTCGATCTTGTAGGGCATTTGGACCTCCCGGCAGGCTGGTCCACCGACTTTCGTCCAGCATTCCTTTCCCTGAAGGACCTGTCCCAATTGACGCAGGAGACCAACCACCAGGTCATCAAGGAAGTTGAGGACTCATCTCAGTTTCTGGAAGAACTGTGGCAGAAAAGTCTCGATGAAGTGTCGAAAGGCTGGTCGGAAGGACCGTTCCGAGAACAGGACCTGCCACAAGGAGCTGTAATCAGCAAACGTTTTGCAATCCAGCAAGGGAACAAGGTGAGGCCGATCGACGACCTGTCCCAGAGCCACATCAACGAGGCATTTGGGAGTATGGGGAAGATCGAGTTGCATGATGTCGAGACAATTGCAGCCTCAGCCATCTTGTTCCTGAGGCACGCAGGACAAGGACTGCTTGGGAAAACCATTGACCTGAAATCAGCATATAGGCAGCTGCCACTGTCCGAAGAGGCACTCAACATGGCCCATGTGGCTGTCAAGGACCCCAGCTCGGGGGAGGTTCGCTTCTTCAGGCTTCTTTGCCTTCCATTTGGAGCCGTGGCGGCGGTCCACGCGTTCATCAGGGTCAGCTTGGCTATTTGTCATATAGGAAACACGTTTTGGCACTTGCCTTGGAGCTCGTTTTACGATGACTTCACGCTGTTGTCAACACGACAGCTGGCCCCTAGCGCAGAGGCCAGTGCATGTTTTCTGCTAGACTTGCTCGGCTTTGAGTTTGACAGTGACGGAGACAAGGCTCCGCCGTTCCAAGAAGTCTTCAGATCTTTGGGGGTCGAATTTGACCTTACAGACAGCAGCAAGCAGATTTTTAGGATCCAGAATACAGCAGAACGGACCAAAAGTCTCATTGAAGACCTGGCAGCCTTTCAGGAACAAGGAGCCTCAAGCCCTAAGACCTGGAATCGACTGAGGGGAAGGCTGCACTTTGTGGCGGGCCAACTCTCTGGGCGCTTGCCGAAGGGCTTCATGAGAAGAATCTCTGACATCATCAATGCCCCGCATATGTCAGGAGACAGAACCAAGCCTCCCTTTGCGCAGCACTGCAGGGGCTACGACATTACATAGCCGAAGCGTCGCCGAGGACGGTGCGAGCCCAGACCTCAGAGACGGTGTATGCTTTTACGGACGCCTCGCAAGAAGGACTCCAAGGCCTCGAAATGGGTCTGGGAGCAGTCCTGTTTAATCAGGAGGGGCAGATCCTGTGCTGGTTTGGCATTGTGTTGCCGCATGACCTTGCTGAGAAACTCCTGCAAGGAAAGTCCAAAGTCATCAACGAGCTCGAGAGCATAGCTGTTCTCCTGCTCTTCATTCTAGCCCGAGAATTTCTCCGGGGAAAACACGTGATGTGCTACTTAGACAATGAAGCGGCGCGCATAACGCTCCTCAAGCTGACCAGCGATTCAGAGGCCTTGACCCTCTTGAGCAATGCTTGCGCATTGTTGGAACAGGAGCTCGAGATGATTCCGTTCTACGCTCGGGTACCGAGCAAATCCAACGTGGCGGATGCCCCATCCCGCCTTGACTTTACAGGGTTGCCACACAATTGCAGGTTCAAAGATCAGGTGCTTCTCGCGGAAATGGCCAAGCTGGTGAACTCGCTCGTCGGGCGCTGAGCCTGACACTCCCATGACCAAGGAAGGGACTTGCATTCTCCCCGACCAAGAGAGGGAGATTTCGTTTCTCACACACCTGCAGAGGACAGATCTCGGATGGAAGCAGACATGGCAAATCCCCTTCCTTGGAAAAGATGCCAATGCATAAGCTTCAGTCTTGTTAGCGTGAGGGTGCACGTCATTGCAGTCTGTGCATGTGAATTGCATCGCTGTGCATGGGACACAAATGAACAAGCATGGCATCGATGGATTGTCCTGTATTTTTGGCCAGGAAATGTTTTCATACATTTGAAACATTTTTGTTTGGAAAATAAGGTAATCGTGCTGCAAGTACAAACCTTTATTTTCCGGAGAAAAATTTTCGAATTCTCCGAATGAGAAAGTTTTTCGGCTCAGACGAAGAGAGGCCACAGCCCTCTCAGTCACAACCCTCGTGGAGAGGGTCGGGGGAAAATTTTTCTGCCCACCCACCCACTCCAATAGTGCCTTACATGTGACAGTTGGGATGAAACGTGATGCCGGAACAGCGGGTCTTGATGAAGACACGAACAGAGAATCAAGGATCCAATGGCTGGCAGTGATGGTAACCAATGTGCCGGTTGTGGATGTTTGCGGTTGCTGACGATGTGTGGCATCGCTCTGGGCATGACTTACGTACTTCCAGTTTTCGCTTGGAAATGCAGGGTCGTCATGTGCCTTTCAGCACGAACCTCAGCGATCTGCCGGTGCACCTTGGAACGTGTGTGCACTTCGTTGTTCAGCTCAACCATTGACAGGCCGCTCACTTAGGCGGAACCTCTGAGTGCAGTAGAGAACTCCGCTTTGAGCGATTTGTGTAGTGTTTCACAGGGAGATTTCGTTTCTCACACACCTGCAGAGGACAGATCTCGGATGGAAGCAGACATGGCAAATCCCCTTCCTTGGAAAAGATGCCAATGCATAAGCTTCAGTCTTGTTAGCGTGAGGGTGCACGTCATTGCAGTCTGTGCATGTGAATTGCATCGCTGTGCATGGGACACAAATGAACAAGCATGGCATCGATGGATTGTCCTGTATTTTTGGCCAGGAAATGTTTTCATACATTTGAAACATTTTTGTTTGGAAAATAAAAACCTAAAACAATTATTTTAACGATTTCCAAGGCCAAGCCTGTTAGCGGCATCATAAGCATACGCCCGGGGCGGTTTCGTCGGGCTACGATCTTCATGCCATTCTTTCCCATGTTCCATCAAGGTGCTGACCGCAGCTCTTCGAGGCGCCTTTCCTGGACGATGCTTCTCTACGTTGGTTGTTTTCACTAACACACAGACGGCGCCTCACAAAGACGTGAATGCTCCCTTCCCCAATTTGCTTCTCCCACTTTCCAAGTTTACTGCTGGGCAAGTTTGGCTGGAAGATTCCGAGGGCGATGTCTATCGCACAGTGGCCGGCCAGGCCCGACCTGGACGCTTGTTGGACGTGGCTGCTGGACCCTGTTTGCTGGAAGCCCACAAATATCTTCATGCCACGGAACCCTGGCAAGGCTGCCGCATCGTCCTCGTGGGGTTCACGGTCCGCCGCCTGCACCTTCTTTCACCTGACCAGGTTACCTTGCTGGCCGCGCTGGGCTTCGTCTTGCCCGATGCAGACCGCGCACGCATGGGGGAACACGCTTCTGCATCGGTCATGGTACAAAAGGCGTCGGGAGAAAAGACTATGGTAAAGGCGTCTGGGGCGGCCGAGGCGAATCCTTCGACAAAAGCCAGTCAGGAAGTGATCATGGTGGATTCGGGGGATGAGCTTCCGGAAGAGACTGCAGACGCTGAAATTCCTTTTGATCCGCGTACAAGCCGGGCATTTGGACAACCTATAGTCTGTCGTCACGACACAGGCAAGCGAGTCTTCGTTGATGGCTTTGGACTATGTTCCCCGGGCCGTTGGCCACCGGGCCAAAGGGGACAACTGAATTCTTGGGAAGAGAGCTCGCGTGCTGAACGGATGCAAAGGATCTTGCGTAACTTCGTTTTGTCTGAGCTTCCTGACATTCGGAAGTCTGCATTCTGCTTGGCTGCTGGAAGGCTGGAATCAAGTCCCTTCACACAACCCGCTCTGAAGAGACTACGTGGTGAGCTGGCGGGAGCATTGCCCGATCCGACCCTGGCGCTTCGGGTTCCTGACCGCCAGCCGTTCTTGCTGTACATGCTAGCGGCCGCCGCAATCTTTGCGGATCTTGGGAGACCCTGACTGGGAGATTCTGATTCAAGGGACAGAGTGCTTTGCAGAAGGCGTGCCTTTGGGTGACGAGGAGCCGTTGCCACGTACTCCGCAGGTTTTTGCCCGTCGTGAAAAGTTCCGAAAACTGGATGCATCACCTTTCCAGGCGATCATGGACAACTACACGTCAGCAGAACTGTCCTCTGAGCAACTTGAGGATCATTTTCGGGCTGATGAACAGAAGGGCCGCGTGCTGCCGACCACGGAGGGAGCAGTGGCTCAGGAGTATGGACCAGGGCGGCTTTTGGTAGCAGCTATGGGTGCCGTGGAGAAAACCAATGGTGACATCAGACCGCTGCACGACGGAACTCACGGCGTCAACTTGAACAATCGAATACGCATCTTGGATAAATTGGAGACACCAGGACCTGATGAAGTGTTCGAGGGAAAATTTCAGCTCGCCTGACATTTCTCTCTCAAACTAAAGTTGTAGTGCTCTTCCTTCGAGCACGGGGTTTTTAATAATCCTTTTTGCGACCTTTTTGAGTTGCGGAAAGTGTTTCGAGTTTTAAACGAATTTTCCTCAGCATCATGAACGTTATTTTTAGCCATGTGACTTGCTGCATGCTTGAATCAACAGTTGGCCCGTTCATGTTCACAGCTGCTCGAGCTCGGGCTGAGAGAAAATTTTTGTCCCTTTTGAGCCTCCGCTAATCCTGTAAGGGTGCCGTGCTAGAGGTTCGAGGTGCTATTGGTCTCCCCTTAGGGGTCGTGCAAGCCGAGAGCCTGTGAGCTCTCGGCGGATGGATAGCGAGTCGAGCTCTACGAGCAGCTCTCTCAGTTGGGACTGGCCTGTTGTGCCGCCAGCCCCCGTTTTCCAGGCGGTTTGCATCCGGCCTCGGTCCTTTCATACTGCTTCACTTCAGCGTCAGCTAAACGCTCCTCCCAGTCTCTTTTCATACGTCCTCGAGAGCTCTTTCTGTGGTGTGTTGGTCAGTACCAGAGAAGGATCCAGGATCCTTTTGTTTCTCAACCCTCCTCATTGGCTTGCTCTTGCCTGCACCGGCCCCCGCCCGCATACGTGTGTTCGCCTTCTTCTTCAGCTGTCCAACTAAGGTGCCGCTTGCAACATGTCGAATCCTTCCTCCGAACCCGATAATCTCGACCCTTGGCTCTTGTTCAGCCCCGCAGGTGTGGTCGACCAGACCGAGTGTGACTTGCGTGCCGCTGATGAGCAAGCCCAGTCTTTCGTTCGTTCTCTTCAGGGCTCTTTCCAAGGGGGTGAGTCGGGAGCCCTTGAAGATACTGAGGCTTTGGAGAGTCGCAACTGGGTCAACTGCACTAGGCCTTTTCAGGGTTTGCCCGGGGTTCCAGGGGACGACGAGGGTTGGGTCGACCCAGGCTGGGTTCAGGGCAGAGAGCCTGTATTCGGCACACGCATACCGCCTTCGTCGTGTGCACCTACTTCAATTTCTGAAGCTGCTTGGTATGACGCCTGTCGTGACTTGGAGACAGACGATTTCTTGAGTGCCACCTTGCGTGTGGCAAACCATTCTTTTCAAGAATCCGATGACGCTTCGCTTCTGGTCCCTCTTCCAGATGACCGAATCTTGGGTGATTTCCAGCGTGCAGCTGTAGAGGCTACTTCACAACAGCGTTTTGAGAGCAGGCCGAGATTTTCATGGGAAACATCTTCGTCTTTGCGTTTTTCCTGGGAGAGAGGAACGAGTCCTTTGCAAGTTATTGGTGCAATTGATTTTCTTGATCCAGAGGAATCCGATGACGAAGCAAAACGAAGGTGTGTGCCACCCACGACGGTTAAGTTCCTGAAACGCATCACAGTGGAGCGGTCGGAGGAAGACATCCGAACGGCTGCTCTTAAGAAGATGAGGCTGGTCATCTTGTGGGATCCAGAGGTGAGTAGCTTGGGAAGGTCTTTGCTGTCGTTGCTCGGGGCAGATGTAAACGAGGAGGCCATCAAGAAGTCTTTTTCGGATGCCTTCAGAACTAAAGCTTCCAGGACAATCTCAAAGCGAGGTGGGTCCCTCCTGAGGTATTTTTCCTGGTGCACAACAGAGAGCATAGACAGCCCTCTTGCAGTCGATGAGCCGACCATATACATGTATGCAAACTTCTTGCGTGACTCAGGAGCCAGGCCGACCAGCATGACGCATTTTGTGGAAGGCCTTCGCTTTGTGCACGGGGTCGCCAAGTTGCTGCACATGGAGCCTGAAACAGTCCTCTCCAGCCGGGTGCTTGGCATAAGCCGGGACCTACATTTGATGAAGCGTCCTCTGCAACAGAAACCTGAACTGACGGTTCCCATGTTGATGGCATTGGAAGCATTCTGTGTGGAAACTGGACCAGTACTTGCGTGCATTTGTGGACAGCTGCTGTTTTGTGCGCATTCGGCTGACAGATGGAGCGATTCTCAGAACCTCAAGGAGATTTCAATTCAGGAGTCCGACGGCGTGATCTTAGTTGTTGCATCAGGCTTGACATCCAAGACGACTGTCTCTAAGGAGGCAAAAACCCGGCTGCTTCCCTACGCAGCCCTCGGCTGTGGGTTGTCTGGCAACAATTGGGCGAAAGCTTGGCTGAAGGCTCGTGAACATGAAGGCCTCTCCCTTGAGAACTTTGCGCTGCCGTCACGCCTCGAGAGCCAAAACCGCTGGAGCTCTGTTCAGATGGGGAGCGTCGAGGCGACCAGCTACCTGCAGGACTTTCTGATTTTGAAGGGAATCGATCAAGACCAAGCCATGCAGAGGGCGACGCATTCGTTGAAGGCCACTTTGACATCTTGGGCGGGCCGCTGCCCTCGCCCAAAATTCAGTGGAGCGGAAAAGCGCCTTCTTGGACACCACATTGCTCCAAAGGAGAAATCACCGGCGACCTACGCCCGGCAGCAGTACACCCTTTTGTACGGGCGAGTCATGGCGATGTTCGAAGCCATCCGCGCGGGAGACTATGACCCTGACTTGTCTGACGTTGATCGGGTGGTGCAAGTGGCTGCAGCGGAGCGACCAGGTGCCGCCCAGGACGTCATTGCTCCGGAACCCGAGGCGCCTGTGCCACGACACGATTTTGACGAGTTCGAGGACCCCCCGTCTTCACAGAGCTCTGAAGCTTCTGAGGCTCCAGGCCGCGGTGGAGGAGGCTTACAGAGGGCCCCTTTTGGGCCGAATGTTTCTGAAGATTCTCTTGTAGTGCACACAGTGTCCGGCATAACGCATTGTTTGAAGGATCAAGCCAACTTGTGGTGTGGCCGACCTCTCTCGAGGAACCATATTCCTTTCCGTGAAGCGGGGGTCTATTTTGAGGACCCTGACCCCTGTAAACAATGCCGGCACATTTTGGAGGCTGCAGAGTGACCGAAATCTTGAAGGAAAACGAGTGCATCTGTCCTTGTGAACAGCACAGACGGTACATCCTTCTGGCCAATCTCAGGCGTCGCACCGAAGTCTGACAATCGGTGATGTTGCTCCCACTCGAACGCAAGTCGAGATCTTTGGGGAGAGCAAGTTGAGCCTACTCCAGCTGACTCGAAGCCTTTATCGAGAATCACCCAGCTGTGAGAGCCGAGGCTTCGTTCACCGTCAGAGCACTTCGGAATCACAGTCATGATAAAAGCATGGGCTTCTGCTCGGGGAAACTGCGGACACGTTTGACTGCGTTGCAATACCCATCTTACTTGTCCGAAGTCGATCTTTAGGCTTCAACCTGACAAGGAGCGAGATCGTCCCGACTTGCTAGGTGTCGAGCCATGGCGGGGATTGCAGTGGATAGCGAGGCCTGGTTTTTGGAGCGTTGCCAGAAGGTCAAACTCAGCGAGTCCACCATTCGCATTCTTGTCGATGCGGGATTCAAGAGCTTCGGAACCTTGGCTTTTGCTGTGTCTACCACGCCGACACAATTGGATGAAGCCGATGTGAAGCGATGGATGGGAAACATTTTTCCACATGACTTCCCGCCTGATCAGTCCTCTAAGGTGAGACGTTTGATGTTTGAAGCCCAGAACCTAAGCGTGGCTGACATGAAGGCACGCGTGGAACCTGCCGCTGACACAGCTGCGGTTCGTGCTATGCCCAATGCGGAGCGCTTGGCCCGCCAGGAGGCCTTGAAGAAGCGTGTCACGGGCCTCATTCTTTCGCCTGAAACCTTGCCAGCTCATTCCGTTGTGGACACTCTTGTCAAACAACTCGAGGATGGAGTCCTCCAGTACTTGCCAGCCTATCGCATCATCAGCCGTGCCCAGGAAGCTCAGATGTTGAAGAAAGACCAGCAAGTGGTGGTTGATGGCGAGGGGAACTTGAAGATGGCGAGCAAAGCCGAATCTGCCACTTGTGACACGCACACTGACTTAGCTCTGCGCAATGCTTGGACTCGTCGCTCGCTGGCATATGATCTCGCCGGCTTGTGCAGCTTTCAGGTGCTTGAGGAGTGGTGTCACAAATGCTTCCTTGCCTTGATGAGGCCCGTGCCCAATGGTTACTCCAAAGTAACCACTCATCAACTTATTGCTGCCGACAGGCACCTGTTCACGCTGGCTTCGCATGCGCTCCTTGGAAAACTTGCCGGCGAGCCCGGCCGTGAGAAGCCTTTGGAAACCCAGATCAAGCTTTTGTCCGAGTCGCAAGAGGTTTTGCAGTACCTTAACGCTCTCCCTACTCCTCCTCCTTCTGCCCCCTGGCCAGGCAAGCGCAAATGGGATGACCCCAAAGGCGGTGAGAAGGGCGATAAAGGGAAAGGTAAGGGGAAGGGCAAGTCGTCTAAAGGTGAGGTTCGCAAGGAGTTCACAGTGCCCGACGGCTGTGTCAGCCGCGTGAACGACAAGCCTGTCTGCTTTGCCTTCAACCAAGGAAGGTGCCGCTTTCGAGTTAACTCCAAGAACCGTTGCGGCCGTGGTTTCCACATCTGTTGGAGGGCTGGGTGTGGTGGCGACCACCCTGGCCATCTGTGCACAAAGGGGTCTTGACTCCGGGCGGGGGGCTCCGATCTTCCCCCGGAGCCTGCGCCGCTCTCCCCGCATTGTGTCACGCACGTGCCTTTTGAGGCGAACTCTGTTGGCTTAGGTCCCGAAGCCCTTGCCGAGCAACTTCTTCGAAAGCCAACCTTGGAAGCCTTTGATGTTTTGCGAGTTTTCGACCTCTTGCCCAGAAATCCATCTAAACGAGATGCCTTCCATCACCGAAGCTTTGGTTGCGGTGCCTGGGTGTTCGGGTCCCAGATCGGAATTCGTACAGATACTAAGTCTTTTCCAAAGAGCTCCGCTCTCTTTTGCCGTTATGTTCACCAAGTGAATCCTCACCACACCTTTTCCAGCCTGGTCTTGCTCGATGATGTTCAAAGCCCACTCCATGTGGACTGCAACAATGACCGCTCCTCCTGGAACCTCGTCATCCCCTTGACCCGATTTCGCAAAGGCCAAATCTGGGAAGAATGCGAAGGAGGGGCTGACCGCTTTGAAGACGCTTCTGGCACTTTTTGGGGGCGTCTGCATGATGTATCCGCCGGACCAGTCTTGCTTCATGCCGCCGTGAACCGCCATGCTGTTTTGCCTTGGGAAGGCCGCAGGGTTGTGCTGATTGCCTTCACCCCCCGGGATAGTCCCAAGCTTCCCCTTGCCGACCGTGACTGGCTGGGTGACATTGGCTTCCGCCTACCCTCCTCATCCGCCTTGCCCACCCTTGGCCCGCCCAAACTCTTTCTCGAGGTCTTCTCCGGGTCCGCGACCCTGGCTCGAGCCGCCCAGAGGCTCGGGTTCACGGCCGTTGCTGTTGATAACTGTCCCCGGCGTCCTCAAGTTCCCACGGTTCGCCTTGACCTTGCTTCCGATATGGGCCGCGATGCCTTGTTTCGTTTGCTGCATGACAAAAAGCCTGCCGCGGTGCATCTAGGCCCCCCTTGTGGCACATCGTCTCGGGCCCGTGAGCGGCCCTTGCCGGCCAAGTTACGCGCCCTCGGCCTCCGTGACCCTCGGCCGCTTCGGAGCGCCGACTTTCCCCTCGGCTTGCCTCACATTGACCCCGCCAGCCCTGATGGTTTGCGCCTCGCCGCTGCCAATCGTCTTTATGACTTGGTCTTTCATGTCCTGCTTTGGTGCGCTGAGCACGACTGTGTCTTCACTCTTGAAAACCCCTCGAACTCGTGGTTCTGGAGTGTGCTGGCCTTGAAGGTCCGAATGCACGCTTCGCCCAAGGTCCGCCGCTGGTTCAGTGACTTGCATGAGATCATCTTCGACGCTTGTGAGCACGGTGGCGCTCGTCCCAAGTCCACCAAGCTCCTCAGCAACCGGGCTGCCTTTGGCAGCCTTCGTGCCCGCTGCAGCGGCCGTCATGTGCACGAACCTTGGGGCGTCAGCTGGCGTGCTGGCGGTTGGGTGTGGTCCACTCACCTCGAGGCCCAGTATCCTGTTGTGTTGGCTGCTCGCTGGGCCGCATGCTTTGCTTCTGCTTGCCATGTCTCCCCTGGCCCGACCGAGGCCCCCGACCCGCGCTTGCAGTCTCTTTCCGCGGTGGGACGCCAAACCCGTAAGCATAAGCCCTTGGTTTCCGAATATAAATTCGTGCGCATCATGCCCCGCGGCCAAATTCCCTCATCCGGTTGCAAGGTCCTCGGCGCGCCTCCCGTGCAAGGGGGTGATTCGGGGGAGGTCGCCGAGGCTCTTCCTGAGACTTCCCCAGACAGCGAGGGGCTTGGTTTGGATAGGGGTGAGGATTGCCAGGTTGGTTTCTACAGGGATCCTTGTGAATGGTTCCAGGCTGCTAAGAAAGTGTGCCACCCTCTTGACTCCGAAAACAAACTCCCAAAGGAGCTGAAAGCTTCTCTTGAGGCCAACATGGTAGCTGATCGCCGAGCCCTCTTTCTTCGTCGAAAACTTGCACTGATGAAAGCAGAGATCCTTTCCAAAAAGTTGGAACAAGACGAAAGCAAACTTCACTCAGCGATGCCATCGTGGATGCAGACCGTGATGCAAGGCAAGAGGATCCTACTTCTGGAGTCTTTGCTGCGACAGCACAATTTCGATGACATGGAGGCAATCGAGCTTTTGAAGTCGGGGGTGAAGTTGTCGGGTGTGTCCGAATGCCCTGCTGCCTTTGATGTCAAAGTGAAACCTGCCACGTCTACCGAAGCGGAGCTCCGTCAAGTCGCTCCCTTGAAACGGGCAGCGCTACTTTTGGAAAATCGGGCTTCCGATCCCGAGCTAGAACGCGATCTGCTGAAGGTGACCATGGACGAAGCGAAGGCTGGATGGCTTCAGGGGCCTTTCAGCAGTGAAACGGAAGTTTCTGAGCATCTGGGGAGAACAGATTGGAGTTTGATGCGAAGGTTTGGCGTTCGACAAGGAGGCAAACTGAGACCGATTGACGATGCCTGCGATTCCGACTTGAACTGCACTTTCACCAGCACCATGAAGCTAAAGTTACAGGACGGCGACTTCTGCATTTCTTTGGCCATGGAAATCGCAAAGCGCGTGATGGGAAAGCCGGGAGTCGTTCCCAGAGAGTGGAGTGGCCGATGCCTTGATCTAAGTGGTGCTTACAAACAGATGGCAGTCTGTGAGCAACATCGGAGCTTGTGCGTTCTGCTTCTGCGTGATGCCGATGGCCGCCCAATCTTTTTCATTTCTTCAGCATTGGTTTTTGGGGCCTCTGCTTCAGTCTATGCCTTCTTAAGAATAGCTCGGGCCTTGAGCTTCTTACTGAACGTCGTGCTGGAGATCCCTCATGCAAACTTCTTCGACGACTATCCAATCCTTGTGCCTTCGGAAGATGCTGAACAGGTGGGCCTCCTATGCACGAAGTTTTTGCACTTGCTTGGTTGGAAACATGCCGAAATTGGAGAGGGTCACAAAGGCCTCCCCTTTGCGAAGTCCTTTGACGTGCTGGGCTTGCATCTCGACATCTCTTGCATATCTTCGGGAACCTTGACAGTGGCTAACAAGCTTGGCCGGGTTGACCGACTCCTTGAGCGCCTTCGTGAGATCAAGCAGTCAGCAGTCCTTAGCCGCCACGAGGGCCAAGTCCTGCTGGGCCTCCTGCGGTACGCAGCTGGGTTCTTCGGGGGCCGGACTTTGCGTTATGTTTGTGAAGATTTGAACGCCATAGTGCATCATGGACATCACCCTTCTCCTGTTGCGGTTAGACTGCTATGTCAACGCGCTATAACTGCACTGGAGTCGTCGAGGCCCCTACAGCTCAAAGCAGATATGCCGAGTTCTCCGGTGCATCTCTTTACAGATGGCAGCTGGGAAAAAGGTGTAGCCGGAGTTGGGGCTGTGCTTTTCGACGCGCACGATGGTTCGGCAGAGGTCTTTGGAGGCGAGATGCCAAAGGACATGGTAGAATCGCTCCTACAGACCGACGGTGACCACTTGATTGGACAAATCGAAACCTACGCTGTCGTGGCCATGCGGATACACTTGGCCCATCGCCTTTCAGGACGTCGAGTGATCATCTGGACAGACAATGAAGGTTGTCGATTCGGGCTCATTAAAGGCCGTTCGAAGTCCCACACGATGGACACCTTGATCAGAAGCTTCGCCGCTGCTGAGGATGCCGATCCAAGTCATACCTGGATATGTCGTGTGCCGAGTTACTCGAACATCGCTGATGGGCCTTCTCGGGGAAAGCCTGAGGAGGCTCTGAAGATTTCAGGAGCTGTCGCATGTCAGTCTTTTCCATGGATTCGGCAAGCATTCGAAACTACCTGATAGCTCTCTTAAAAAGGGGGCATTTCGGGAGAGCAGGAAATCGCGAAACCTGATCGCATCCTGTGCATGCTTGCCCCACGACTGAAGAAAAAGCGCGTCAGTGTAACTGGATGAATCTTTAACACATATATGGGATTAGGTTTCACATGTGTACATAGAAGATGAAATTATTTTCGTGATCTCACAAGATAGACCTTTGCGATGAAGCTTATTCCAATCATGAGGAAGAAATCTCAAGCAGATTGAGTTCCTATTCTTTCATACAAAACCCCAACTTTTGTGAGAGGGAAAATTTCAGCTCGCCTGACATTTCTCTCTCAAACTAAAGTTGTAGTGCTCTTCCTTCGAGCACGGGGTTTTTAATAATCCTTTTTGCGACCTTTTTGAGTTGCGGAAAGTGTTTCGAGTTTTAAACGAATTTTCCTCAGCATCATGAACGTTATTTTTAGCCATGTGACTTGCTGCATGCTTGAATCAACAGTTGGCCCGTTCATGTTCACAGCTGCTCGAGCTCGGGCTGAGAGAAAATTTTTGTCCCTCCCACCCACCCGTATCAATCTTGGGTATGGGGGGGCATTTCGGGAGAGCAGGAAATCGCGAAACCTGATCGCATCCTGTGCATGCTTGCCCCACGACTGAAGAAAAAGCGCGTCAGTGTAACTGGATGAATCTTTAACACATATATGGGATTAGGTTTCACATGTGTACATAGAAGATGAAATTATTTTCGTGATCTCACAAGATAGACCTTTGCGATGAAGCTTATTCCAATCATGAGGAAGAAATCTCAAGCAGATTGAGTTCCTATTCTTTCATACAAAACCCCAACTTTTGTGAGAGATGGTTTCTCTGGCGCGCGATTCGGGCGAAGCAGTCTTTGCCATCTCTGCCGACGTCTCCCAAGCTCATCGCCAGGTAAAGGTCAGGCGAAAGGACTGGCCGAAAATGGGATGCCGTTCCAGTTCGACATCGCGTACCGTGTGGCTCAATACTGTCGGCACGTTTGGCATCAGCTCCGCCGCCTACAGGTGGAGCCGGCTGTTCGGATGCATTGGAAGGTGGGTGCTACGCATCTTGTCAACGCTCTGGCATATGGAGGTGGTCTACGTGGATGATTTACACCTCGTGACCGCTGGAGAGACAAAATTCCTTGTGCTTTGGATGGCCCTGGCGGCGTACGAGGCCATCGGCACGCCGTTTGCCTACCACAAATTCAAAGGCGGGATCAAGGTTGATTTCGTGGGTTATCATATCGCATATGAGCAATGGTCTGCAGGGCTCTCATCCAAACGCACCAAATGGATAGTGGGCTGGATCAACGATCTTGAGGCTGCGAAGTGGATGGTAGTGGGTCGCGCCATGGTAGAGTTCACTGGCAGGATGACTTTTGTCGGTAGACTGCTGTTGTGGCTAAAACCTTTCTTAGCTCCGTTGCATTTCTGGTGCGCAGTGCTAGCAAGGGGAACGACAGCGCGCGTTCCCACGATGGTTTATCTCTCGCTCATCTACATCCGGAAGAATCTTTTGCTGACACACCACTTGGTGCCCGCGCTGCGACAGGTCCCCTTTGTGACCCAGTCGTTTCGGACTGATGCGAAGTGTGAGCGTGGACGTGTCGTGTTGGGTGGTTGGTCCCTTGCCAAAGGGAATGTCCCGGCCCGGCCAAAGCAGATTGGTTTTCTGCTGAAGTCACACGACAATGGCGCCTTGGTTGTTTAAGGAGGATGGAGCAAGTGAGTGGGCATCAGCCAGCGCGGAGTTGCTGGCGACTTATATGGCCTTGTTTGCGTTTGGTCACCCTCAGGCTGCTGGATGTCGCAACGTCATGTTGGCAACGATCTATGGTGGAACGGACAATCGGTCGAACCCTCAGGCCGAAGCAAAAGGGTCATCTACGAAGTGGCCGCTCATGGGGCTGCTGATGCAAATATCTGAGACACTCCTTCATTCCAATCTGCGTGTGAGGCTGCAGTGGAGGCCACGGGAAGAGAACACGGAGGCCGACGATTTGACAAATGGTGACTTCACAAAATTTGACATGTCGTTGAGGAGGTTGGTTTCCTTTTCTGATCTGAAGCTGGATTTGTTTGAGGAATTGATGGCTTGCTACGATGAGTACGAAGCCTCGAAGGTGGCTTTGAAAGAGCGTAACCCAACTCGGGAGAAGGCTTCGAAGAAACAGAAGCTGGCCGAGAAAACTCCCTGGTGATGCGCGCCAAACGCCTTCGGTGGGGCATATGTCCGTTCGGCGCTGCGTCCTATCGCCAACTGTGGGTTCGGATCTACACCAACCGTGCAAAAAGTGCGCTCTTGCGCTGAGGGTGTGGTTCTGGTTTACGCCCCTCTCACTTCCCTTCCCCCTTTGGCCCAAACGCCCTGAACAAACCTTTTGGGTTTCCCAAATCGTTTGTTCTTGAAGTTTGGCCTGGGTGGGTGGGGCTTAGTTCTTTGGGGAAAAATTGAAAAATGTATTTTGGACTGTTTACACTATTTGGGAACATGCTTTGAGATCCTTCTCTGTTGGGCCATGGGCCTTCAGATGATCGCCACCCGCCGTGGCATGGCTTGAAGACCGATTGTTTTGGTACCCGCCCTCCCTGTCCCTTATTACGCAGTGCCTGCTCGAGCTGCCGACGCTTGCTAAAGGATCGTGTGGCCCAGTAGTCCGGCTCGTCCGGTTAGGCCTTTGTCCGCTGGCTTTTCAATTTCTTTTGCCTAGTAGTCCGGTGCGTCCGGTGAGGCTTCTTGCTTCTTGTCGGCCCAGTAGTCTGGTTCGTCCAGTCAGGCCATCTTTTCCGCTGCTCAAGCCATGCTTGCCTAGTAGTCCGGTATGTCCGGTCAGGCAATTTGTGGAATGTCCCTACTTTCATGTTCCGAATCTTCAGTGCTTCGCTTTGCCTAGTAGTCCAGTACATCCGGTCAGGCTTCTTGTACAAGAGGAATTCAGCCATGTCTCACACTTACTGTGACTGTTCATGCCGGGGCATATGTCCGTTCGGCGCTGCGTCCTATCGCCAACTGGTGGTGGGTTCGGATCTACACCAACCGTGCAAAAAGTGCGCTCTTGCGCTGAGGGTTTAGTTCTGGTTTACGCCCCTCTCACTTCCCTTCCCCCTTTGGCCCAAACGCCGTGAACAACGAACTTCGACTTCAGCCAATTTTCGACCTCAGTAAGCGCGCGCCGAATTTCAGCTTCAAATTTCGACTTCGAATTTCGGCTTCCGGGGGGGGACGAAAAGGGGACCCACTTCCCCGGGTCCCTGTCGTCGTGGTTGTTTGAGTGTGATTGGTCAAAGAGAGTACTTCGCACTCCTTTTTTGGCGTTACACAAATAAAAGCCAAGTTCAATACCAAAGCAACCTGTTCTGCGTACCTGTGGAAAGTTGTACTTTTACGTTGTACATGTTGGATAGCACGGTCCTGTGCAGCGCAGCAAAGTTTCAGCATCAGGCTGCCATGCAGTCGTCGGCGCAGCCCCATCTTGTGTAGCAACACTCTCGGCAGTGCTACCTTCAAACCCAGGAACATCACACAGCAGGTTATGGAGATGATTTAAATTAGGCCTTGAATGGCTTGCAAGGGGGGAAAGATCGCAGAACTCACACAGGTCTCCATCCAAGGAACATGGATCTGATATAGAGCGCGCGCGTCCAGTGGTAATTCGTGAAGAAAGTCTGTGGCACTCAACAGAACCAAAACCAGGGAGCCTGCAAATAACGTGGCAGCATGAAATTTTTGTTACACGCGTTTTCCAGATCAACGTGAACGCTGGAAGGAAGTCGGCATTAATGGCGCCAATGCAACAGAATGGCATAGATGGCATGTGCTGTGACTTTTTCATTGCCAAGTTTAGAGGACCCTGATTTGCCCCAGCGCATGTCAAATCCTGGCAATGAGAATTGCCGCAGTATGTGGGTCAGCCCTAGGGAGGAACAGAAAAGTTGCCGTATTGGCAGGTAATCATCTTGCAGGAGTTACCAGACATCGCGAAGAGAGGGGCTTTGCAATTTGTGGCACATGATGGTGTGTAGGGCAAGATGGTTGCTGCAGAGTGTCAGCAACTACGGCTCTTGATATTCCGCAGCCATCATATAATGCTCTGCTCAGGGGGTTTCGTTTGGGATTTTTTAATTTTGCGCATGGGTTTCTCGCTGGTCACCATCCCCATTAACATTTTTTCCCGATATGGGGTGAAGATGCCGAGCGGCTCCTCTTTCCACTGTTGCGAAAACAGCTATTCCTGGGTCTTTCTTGTGGGTCTCTTGCCTCGTGTTCAGAAAAGGCACCTTGTTCAGATTTCGAAGAGTCGTCGCTGTTAATGTTAATGGTTACGGTATATCCACGTGGTTCTTGTCGCTGCCTATGTCTATCCTGTTGGTCGGAAACAGGTACGTTGCCATGGTCATTGCTTTCAGAATTGCCGGTATGGTGGGGGCGAACAGGTGACTGCATATCTCCTCGGGGCTTCCCAGGGTTGCCGCGCGTGGAGGACACTGTTGAGGTGTCTTGCCGGGGATGGAAAGATCAGCCTGGATGTTTTCATCGGGATGGCAGCAAGGTAACCCTCAAATGGTCAACCGATCAACACGTTCGCAGATCTTTGTGTGTAATGGGTTTTGCGCTGAAATTCTCACCTCGTTTGCTTGTTACTCTGCATCACTGGTGTACGCAGCTCGGGTGGCTCTTTCGATAGGACAAGAGCTGTGTGTGTGTGTGTGTCCGCAACGCATGACGCAAAACCAAGACGTCCAGCTGATTCGCTGCCCGTTTATATTCGTGGCCACGAATTCCGCGGCCCCTGCGCAAGAAAGGTATGTAAGAATATCTTGCGTGTGTGCCAAGGGGGAGCCTCATCAAGTTTTGCGACCACGTCATGATACCACTCCCAGGCATGCTACCTCAGTTCATATACACCTATGGACTGGGATCAGCAGCGATCAGCAGCAAGAAGCTCGATCGTAATGGATCCCCTTTTTTGGAAGCATTCTGGCTGGTGATTCTGTTGTATGGATAAAGGGCCATGCTTGCACGGCGGACATCGTCGTTTTTAGTGACAATGATTCCTGCAGGAGTCAAATCCGATCATTCGTCTCCATGCGGGAAGATTAAATACACGATCATGCGATTTTGCCTTCAGCAAGGGCGGCATAAGCTTGTTTCTCATGACTTTTTCGGTGCTCGCGAGTGGTCTCTTCACCCGACTGTGTTGCTCGTTCGCAACAACAGAGACAAGAGTGAGTGCGTGACTTTCTCTTGCTGTGAGTCATTGGACCATAGATTCGTTTCAGTTATTCCTGATTTTCGAAATTATTTTGATGGGTTTTTATTTCGTGCTGCGTTGCAAGAAAAATATGAGGAAATTCTTGTCCCGCTCGGCTGCCCGGGGCCCAGGGTGAGTGCCAATGCGCTGGGAGGTCACCGATTGCGGTGGCACGGCACTTGACCGTGTCTGACCTGCCCTGCCTTGCCAGGGCCAGGGAAAAGAAGAAGGCTGTTTTGCACTTTCCGGGTTTTGACCCTACACATGTTTCATAGGTTCAATGTGATTGTCTTTTGCGTACAACCCAACTTGTACATATTCTGCAATGGTTGTTTACGCCTTTCCCGTTTGAATTTTGAAACATTAACCGTGATTAACCCAGCACCAAAGACCTCAAATCTTACATGAACTTTACGTTATGCCGTGTTATGCCCCAGCAAGTTCAAAGTGCAGGGCGTGCTTGCCGTTTGTTTTGTGGACTCATGTCGGTCGAGACGTTGGAAACTACATTTTCAGCAGTTGCTGCTCCGCGAGCCATGTGGCTTTAGCTTTTGTTACAGTTGTGAAGATGTGTTGAGGTGTTTTCACGCTCGGCACCAAATCCAAAGGTAACTGAGTGCATGCTTTCATGAACGCTCCGAAGATTACATAAGTTAGAATTCGAGAGAGACGCCTGTCGTCGCCAACATGTCCGTTCAGGCCTTGGAAACAAGTTGCTGCATGGGCCGCATGCAGCTGTCCACCACATGGGAAAACTTTGTGCAACCATGTTTTTTTGAGGATGTGGAGCAGAAGGATATCGAGGCTAGTTTTGTAGGTTGTTTTGAAGAATGCACTGGTTGCAGAGTTTCACTGCAGTTGGAACAGGTTGCACGAGAAGATCAGCAGCGAATAAACCGCTTCAGCAGATTGAGACCTGATTGTGAGCCATCAGCCTTCCTGTATTTCACTGTATTCCGCGTTTTATGTATGCGCTTGATGATTCCAACAACGTTCATAAGCTGTTTTGATGAGGAACCTTCAGAATCTTGGCGGCGTTTCAGTCAGTGTTTGGTGTTCATTTTGCAATGTGCGCAGCTGCATGAGATTGCATTCGTCTCACTTTCTTGTGTTTTCCAGCTCAGTCTGGAAGACCTGCCTTGATTTTGAGCTAGAATCAGCTAGAATGCAAGAACATTTTTGACAGGTATGATGACTTGGACGAGGAGATCGCCAAGATCAAAAAGGATGTTCAGAGGTACAAGGCTGCCAGATTTTGCTTACCAGTTACCAGTTGTTCTGGTCTCAGGGTTCTCTGTGCAGGAAAGTGCTGCGTGAGTTTTTTCTTTGAGTCTTTGCTGCTGTTTTCTTCTTGGAACGATCTGCTGCCAGGATGCGCAAGAGGAGATCGAAGGCCAGGTGCCTGTTGTCCTTCGTGCCCGCAGCATCGCATTCAAGTCCGCGCCATGTCTTTTCACTTGGCTTGATGGCTTGTGTTAGCTTTCCACCGGATATCTTTTGAATGCCACGTGTACCTGATAAGAATTTTCCAAGTGCTGTCGCACTTCCCAGGGTGCATGGAAGACAACGGCATCATCGTCAAAATCGGCGAGGCATACACTCCTGTCGATGAGGACAGGGTCGCACGAAAACAGTAGAACAGTAGCCTTCGATTCTTCAGTGCACTTCTGCATCCACAGCCACTCATTCAGTTGAGCTGCGATTGCAAGGATTCTGTCCTGGAGAAGTTGACGAACCTTATTGAGAAATCCGAGGCATTGCGACTTTGCAGAGATGCACAGTGGCAGCACAGTGGGTGCAGGCAGCATTGTCCCAAAAGTCGGACGAGATTGAGACTGTGAGGGGTGAGCTGGACTCCTTGAAGAAGGTTCTCTGCTTTGGCATGGACCTGCTTGGTTGGGCAGTTATCCTAACTGTGGTTGCGTGCTTGCTCTGAGAAGGTTTGATGCGCAAAGCGACAGGGTTGGTAGTGTAAAAATTTTTAGTAATTAGTAGGCGATTTGCAGTCGGATGTCTCGACACACTGGTCTTGCCAGTTTGCAGCAGTTCTCTGAGTATGCAAAGACGCGCGCAGGTGCTTTATGCCAAGTTCGGATCCAGCATCAACCTGGAAAAGTGAGAAGGCCACAAGTTCGTGGGAGACTCGCGTTCGCGGTGGCAAAAACACGTTTGTGGCTAGCAGAAGCACGGGTGACAAGCAGCAGAGCTTGTTTCAACGCCTATAATTTGATGACTTCCCTGTCCAAATGCTGCCTTCCATGGACATCGAAAATTTGAATGCGCCTTCATCTCCCTGTTCTTGGTTGGGCCGGGAGTCAAGAGGTAACAGGAGCGCAAGTTATTTTGAGCCGAACCGTGCACCGGAGCTGTTTGACTGTCGTATGGCAGACATCCAAATCACAAAGACCGATTGCCAATGATGTTGACTTGAGCGCCGGCCCTAGCAACAGCAAAGATCCCTTCAAAAGCCAAGACATCGAGAGGATCTGTGAATGTTTGGGAGTTTCTCGTGCCGCTGTCACGCATCGGCTGGTCCCACTTGGCCTCTGTGATATCGTACAAATGCGATGCGATGCTGAGTTTGATGCCCCTGTCGTCCATTTTGCCGGTTGGTTGCTGAAGCGTTGTTCGGCGATGCTCGGTGTTGCAGCAGCTTGACATGGCTTGACAAGGCTTGCTAGGGCAGGGTCTCAGCGGTTCCAAGGCATTTGGATGATGATGATGATGATGATCATGATGATGATGATGATGATGATGATGAAGATGCTGATGCTGATGCTGATGCTGCTGATGATGATGATGGTGGTGATGATGATGATGTTCTGGTGTCGTTTCATACGGCCAAGATGCGGACCAGGGCAGACGTGCTGCCCTGTAGGCAACATCACATTGTCGCAGCCGCAGCGGTCGCGGGCTTCCAGCTTCAGTCTGCGAGTCCAGGCGCGATTCTGGAGCACACCCAGGGCACACCCAAGCAGGGCGGCACGCAGCAACACCGGCATCGTGTGGGTGCCATTGCAGGTGGCTTGGATTCGGGCGCGCCATTGGAAGTAAACGTTCGCAATGCATAATCCGGGCTTGCGCACTATGGCAGCACGGTGAAGCAGGCGGTTGTCCTCCTCATCGAGCATGATGCAGAGATGCTCGTTGGGGGCGCCGGAAGGTCCAGCCGCAAAGCCATGGCGTGCGGACTGGAGACAGGCGACGAACGCTTGCTGTGGGAGTCGGGAAATCCCAAAGCATTGGCATCATGCCTGCCGTATGCCTCATGAGGGGTCAGTAGGCTCGGCCATTCACCCACTGGTAGGAGTAACTCAACCGCATCCACAGGACCGCGTAAGCGAAAACATATCATGAAGGCTGCACCAGCCTCACGGCAAATCCGCGAAGCAGCTCGCTCGAAGGGGCCACGCCTTGTCCTCAGCAGCCCGGAGCGTGGGCAGGCCGCAAGGTGGTCTCCGCAATGGTTAGCGAGCGGCACCGGCTGGCACCGGTGAGCGGCAACGGCTGGCGGAGTCTGCGCAGGAGGATTGCTCGGAAGAGTGGGGATGCTAGCGTGAACTCCGGCTGCGTTGGGCGAGCTGTGAGGACACGGGCAGCGTGCGGCCCAGCTTGCGAATCCAGCAAGGCGGCCGAAGCAGCATCAGTGTCCCTCACGAATGCGCGGTGATAGCCTGTAGCAATGAAACTGCCCGGTTGTGGAATGATGCCACCACCGCGCTGCAGACAACAAAACGGCTAGGCGCAGGTAGCAAAATGAGACGCATTGAGGCTGCAGCCCTTTATGTTCAAGAACTTATTTTTTTCCGCGAAGCTTTTTGCGACAGTGGTCAGGGCGCCGGCAGTCGGCTCGTGACCAGCAAGGAACTGTCCCGGCCTCGTGCAGGTCGGGCACAACTCCGGCGTCGCAACTGTCGCCTCCAGGCAGCTCAAGGAGGCTACAGGGGTCGGCGCTTGGCTGCGGCACGCCAGCCCGCGCAATTGGACCGATGATAGTAGTGTGCAGGCCGAGCTGCGCTCCGTGCCATACGGGCATCCCGTTTGCGAACCTCAATGCGACGTGCGTCGCTAACAGGAAACTCGATGTTTATCTCAGCGACCCTGATGCAACAAACGTCATCGGCAAGTACGCGGCGCGATCATTGCAAGAGGAGCACACACGGAGATTGAGCGGGCGGCAAGGCGACGGCGGCTGATGTAGGGAGGACTGGCTGTGCCATTCGCGCGGCCACGATACCATGTGTAAGCTTACAAACTTTTTCTTAGAAAATGGGACGCTGTGGGAGTGCACTTTTTCCGCAAAAAACACATGCAAATCCTAAAAACAACCTAAAAACACACGAAAAGCGTGAAAAAAAAAAAAAACACACACACAACAAATCCCCACAAAAACCAAAAATAAAAGAACAAAGAAAAAAAAGAAAACAATGCTGAGGGACTCTGTTGGGGAGCCGGACCCCTGGGAAGAGTCTCTCAGGATTGTTTTTTGTTTGTTTTTTTTGGTTTTTTGGGGGTTCTTGTGTAAGAAAACCAAAAAAACCAAAAAAACCAAAAAAACCAATCCTGAGGGACTCTTTTGGGGAGCCGGACCCCTGGGAAGAGTCTCGCAGGATTGGTTTTTTTTTTTTTTTTTTTTTGGTTTTTTTGGTTTTCTTGGTTTTTTTGGTTTTTGGAGGATTTTTGTGCAAGAAAACCAAAAAAAAACAATCCTGAGGGACTCTGTTGGGGAGCCGGACCCCTGGGAAGAGTCTCTCAGGATTGTTTTTTTTGGTTTTTTTTGTTTTTTTGGTTTTTTTTGGTTTTTTTTGGTTTTTTTGGTTTTTGGAGGATTTTTGTGTATTATTGGAGATGTTTCTGTATCATTTCCTTTTGTACGGTTTTTCGGTATCTTCTGAAGGGTGTTTTTTGGGCCTTCTTTAGGTTCTTTGGTGTTATTTCCTTTTTGTACGTTTTTTGTTTGTACAGTTGTTTCTGTTATTTGTGTTGTGTGTGTGTTGTTTATTTCTGAGTGCCCTTTTGTACGTGACAAACGCGCTAACATGGACAATCAAGCACACCGCATTACCAAAAAAATCGAATCCAGCAAAATCTCGAGAGTACCAAAACTTCCATATAGTCAATCACGGCCCAATACGCAAGACATGACATCTATCCTGAAAAACTATACCTTAGCTAGGATATTTCAAGCAATCATCCCCCAATAAGCAAAACCTAATATCTATACTAAACACTGTACCTTAGCAACATATTTTAAGACATCACGCCCTAAGGCTCCTACCAGTTTAATACGGTTCCTATCAATTTAAACAGCGGTCTTATTCATGTTACTGGGATTCGCAAAGGTATGGTTCTTGTTAAAGGATCCTATTGTTTTGGAGGCCTATTGGTTCCTATTCATTTCAGTAAGATTCATTCTCGTCCTAATAGGATTCCTGTGAATTATAACCCGGTTCTTTTTGATTTGTCAAGGGTTCCTATTCATTTTAATAGGCTTCCTTCCTATTACCTGTTTTCCGGTTCCGATAATTTAATAGAGGATTCCTATTTATTTTCATAGGATTCCAATAAAGTTTCATAGGGTTCCTAATTACTTTAAAAAGGCACCTACTCATGTAATAAGATTCCTATCCTTTTGTTGTCAGATTCTTATTCATGCTAATGGGATTCGTTTTAATATTAATAAGGATCTCATTCACTTTAAAGGGATTCCTATCGATTTAGGCTCATGTTCATTTTCGTAGGATTCTTACTATTTTTCTAGGGGTTCACATTTTTTTTTAGGGGTCCGATTGGTTCGTGTTAATTGTAGTAGGGTTCCTCTTCAGTTTAACAGGGTTCTTATTAATTCTACGAGGATTCTCCTTAATTTTGAGGGGCCTCCAATTCATATTCAGAGGCTTCCTATTGACTTTACGGCGCCGATTAATTTAAAGTAGGGTTCCTATGGATTTAAATGGAGGATTCCTATTGTTGTTTCTATTAAAGTTGGCCCATTTATTTAGAAAACGGGGATGTCCAGTAACTCAGGTCAGGACATACACTGTATCGCTGCTTTGTGTTGGCGTACTTGCATGTTATGCATGTCTCGTGATTTTGTTTATATACAATACGGGTACGTTGCGAGAGTGTTTTTAAAATGTCTTTCAATAAATGGAAAAAAGTGCACTCCCACAGCGTCCCGGTCTCTTTTCTTAAATCGTGGAAGTAATAATTAAACAGGTGCTCGTATCAGGGCAAAGGCCTGTTTTTGGAACACGGCAAGGAAGGAGCCGCCAAGCCTCGGCGCACTCCAGCCACACCCAAGCTCTCTCGAGGACGTTTGGGTCGGAGTTTGGACCCTGCGCCACAGCGGCAAGGGCTCGTCGTGCTCGGAGCACCACTTGGGGACGGATTTTTGCGGAGGCTGAAGAGCACGCTCTGGAGATGCACCTTTGCTGTTTTGCTCGAATTGGGACCGGCAATTCTTGGGTCGCCCATACATTGTTTGACCCCATGTTCATGTTCGCACGTCGGATCAGTGCAACAGCCATGTCGCCGTCACCGACAGAGGAAACTTGGATTTGCTGTACGTTTGGGACGCTCTTTTGGGTAGCCAGGCCCGCCGCCAGCGCCCGAAGCTACCACCCAGGGCGACCCGTTGCCGCTGCGGCCGCGAGTGCCTCTCTTCATCTGACGGTGCGTCAAGCTCCTCGACACCGTCTATTTCATGTAATGGGGATCGCGTGGCGTCTCTTCACACCCTTTGCCGGAGGAGTCGTTGTTGCTTTCATTTTTTGGATAGTCTTTAACCCCGGCGGCGGTTTGAGTCAGAGCGGCCCTTGAGCCAAAATGTCTTGAGCCAAAACTTGCGACTGACCGCATCATATGCAGCACTAACATCGACTGACACGACAGTGAGTTGAAGACCGGTCTCGGTGTGGGTTGGAGATGCCCGGGTGGACAGCGCATATGGGTGGGCTGCACGCCAGCGCAGTTGGTTGGGAAAACTGTTGGGCAGGCGTTCGAGCAACCAGCCGTCAAGGGATCCCCGATGACGAGTCTGCGGGTGCCCCCAGATGGCAATTAAGCGGCCGACCGGGTGAAACTCATTGAGGTCTTGCGAATTTCACCCGCCCGTCG